TCTCATTGTGTCTGTATGAAGAACCGTGTCTCATTGTGTCTATGAAGAACCGTGTCGTCTCATTGTGTCTGTGAATAAACCGTCTCATTGTGTCTGTATGATGAACTGTGTCTCATTGTGTCTGTGCAGAACCGTATCTCATTGCTTCTGTGAAGAACTGTCTCATTGTGTCTGTATGAAGAACTGTGTCTCATTGTGTCTGCATGAAGAACTGTGTCTCATTGTGTCTTTATGGAGAACTGTGTCTCATTGTGTCTGTATGAAGAACCGTGTCTCTTTGTTTCTGTATGAAGAACTGTGTCTCATTGTGTCTGTATGGAGAACTGTGTCTCATTGTGTCTGTATAAAAAACTGTGTCGCATTGTGTCTGTATGAAGAACTGTGTCTCATTGTACCTGTATGAAGAACCGTGTCTCATTGTGTCTGTGAAGAACTGTCTCATTGTGTCTGTATGACGAACTGTTTCTCATTGTGTCTGCATGAAGAACTGTGTCTCATTGTGTCTGTGCAGAACCGTATCTCATTGTTTCTGTGAAGAACTGTCTCATTGTGTCTGTATGAAGAACTGTGTCTCATTGTGTCTGTATGAAGAACTGTGTCTCATTGTGTCTGTATGAAGAACTGTGTCTCATTGTGTCTATGAAGAACCGTGTCGTCTCATTGTGTCTGTGAATAAACCGTCTCATTGTGTCTGTATGAAGAACTGTTTCTCATTGTGTCTGTGAAGAACCTTGTCTCATTGTGTCTGTGAAGAACTGTCTCATTGTGTCTGTGAAGAACTGTGTCTCACTGTGTCTGTGAAGAACCGTGTCTCATTGTGTCTGTTAAGAACTGTGTCTCATTGTTTCTGTATGACGAACTGTGTCTCATTGTGTCTGTATGAAGAACTGTGTCTCATTGTGTCTGAATAAAGAACTGTGTCTCATTGTGTCTGTATGACGAACTGTGTCTCATTGTGTCTGTATGAAGAACTGTGTCTCATTGTTTCTGTATGGAGAACTGTGTCTCATTGTCTGTGTGATGACCTGTGTCTCATTGTGTCTGTATGATGAACTGTGTCTCATTGTGTCTGTGAAGAACTGTGTCTCATTGTGTCTGTATGAAGAACTGTGTCTCATTGTGTCTGTATGAAGAACTGTGTCTCATTGTGTCTATGAAGAACCGTGTCGTCTCATTGTGTCTGTGAAGAACTGTCTCATTGTGTCTGTATGAAGAACTGTGTCTCATTGTGTCTGTGAAGAACCCAGTCTCATTGTGTCTGTGAAGAACTGTGTCTCATTGTGTCTGTATGAAGAACTGTGTCTCATTGTGTCTGTATGAAGAACTGTGTCTCATTGTGTCTGTGAAGAACCGCGTCTCATTGTGTCTGTGAAGAACTGTGTTTCTAGGAAGAGTTTTGTGTTTCATTGTCACTATGAGGAGCTGTGTCTCATTGTGTCTGTATGAATAACTGTGTCTCATTGTGTCTGTATGAAACACTGTGTCTCGTTGTGTCTTTATGAAGAACTGTGTCAATTTTTGTGAAGCGGCATCCAGGAAACATGATCCTTGTATTGTCGGAATGCACATTGTGTAATAATACTGATCATCAGTCTCTCTACTGTGAGACACAGTTCGTCATGGAGACACAGTTCGTCATAGAGATAGAATGAGACACAGTTCGTCATGGAGACACAATGAGATATCAGTCTCTCTACCGCCTCTGAGTACACCCCACTGCGATATATAGAGAGTGTCTACTAGGCTTATCAAAGTCTTATTTACACAATTGGCTGGCTTTGTACAGAACAACCAGAAATTATTGAGAATTTAAAGATTGTATTTTTTATTTTTTATTCACTCATTACTGACGTATTAAATGTGAATATTAGCAGAACATAACTCCAGATTCAAAGACAGGTGAACAGTTAGTATTTTGTCAAGTCACCATGGGCAGCAATGCAGGCTTCAATGCGGCGGGGCATACTACTGATCAAAGAAGTTAGAAAGTCGTGGTCCATGCTGTCGCAATATCGGACCACCTCTTCTTTCATTTCAGCAATATTTGTCAGATTTGTCTTATTGACACTTTCCTTCATAAGTCCCCAAACATTTTCTATTGGATTTAGGTCAGGGCTATAGCTTTGCCAATCTAAAAATGTCATATTTTGGGTCCGAAACCAGGCCTGTGAATGCTTTGAACGATGTTTTGGGTCGTTGTTCTGCTGGAAAATCCAAAAATGTCCATAGAACACGTGAGCAGATGGAAGTAAATGTCCCTCGAGAATATCTGTGTACCGCTGACTGTTCATATTCCCTTCAAATACACAGAAGGGGCGTTGCCCCTAACACAGATATGCCAACCCACACTTTAAATCTCGGGCTGTACTTTGGGCGCTGATACAATGGTTTTTCAGTTTGTTTGGTCCAGAATTTCAGTGTATTAGGAAATAGCCACACAGAACATTCATCTGAGAAAATCACATTGTCCCAGTTAAAATGTCTATGCTGTAAGCACCAGTTCAACCTTCGCTCCTTTCGTTCAGGTTTCATGATTGGTGATGGAATTCCTCGACTTTTCTGCCAACCAATTGCATGCAGCTCAGTTCCAATTGTCTCCTTACAGGCAGCCACAGTTCCTCTATCAATCATATCCAGCCTTAAGTTTTCTAAACTCCTTCGTTTGTTTTTAGAAACAAGAATACCAAGCCGCCTCCTGTCACCGACAGTCAACCTACCTGCGCTATATCCATTTGCAATATTTTTCAAAACACGATACACAGTGGACAAAGGGATGCCTGTTCTACTTGAAATCACTTTAGCTGATCTGATGTCCTTGTTATAATACTCTCAAATCAACTTCCCCTTCTCTAAATCATCCATACTGAGGATCACTGAAAATGTCGTCTGCTAGCAAGTAAACAAAGGGGGGATAACTCTTCACAAACAAATGAAAAAGGATTAACGGAGTTGTCTCTCTTGAATGAAACCAAGCACTTGATAGCTGGTCAAGGTTGTTTATACTAGAAATCCAATTAAACATATTCCTAAAATTCTCAATAATTTCTGGTCATACTATATCTGTAACAAACAATACGGAGTATAAACATGCATAGGTACCAAAAAAAATAATTATATATATATATATACAGGGATATTTTCAGTCAGCATTTAAACGAGTGTGGGTGTTATTCAGGCAGTAGGTGATTGGCGTGATCAGTCACTTAGGCTTACAAACCATTTCAAAGGGATTGAAAATCCAGTTATTTTCTTGTTAAATATGACACAAGAGCACAGTGATGTCGGCAATCAAAATCTAACCGCATCAAGCAGGGTATGAAACTCCCAAAAATTTCAGCCAGACCATAGGGCTGGTTAGATTTGAAACTTGTCAGCCCTGACCAAAACCTGCCCACAAAATATTTTCATTTTCGTGTCTAAATTTCAACCCAGCCGTCGGGCAGGTGAATTTGGGAATCTGGCAGTCCGTGTTGAAAATACCCAGTCCCTGGCGGTCGTGCAGGCAGGTATTTCGAACGCTGCATCAAGGCAATACGATAATTATGATGATGGTGAACAAAATCGAAACAGTTCATTCGTTCTGGACGACATTGTTAAACTTCATCTTCGTTCAACTTTTATTCATGACGCTGTGTAAATCGGTGGAAAGTAAAATCCAAGGGCATTGTTTACACTATACAAACAGTAAGACACATATTTAAAAAAAAAATACAATACAAAAGTAGGTCAACTGAGAGTGAGAGAGTTGAACAACAGAGAGCACAAAAGTAGGTCCACTGAGAGTGAGAGAGAGGAACAACAGAGAGCACAAAAGTAGGTCAACTGAGAGTGAGAAAGTGGAACAACAGAGAGCACAAAAGTAGGTCAACTGAGAGTGAGAAAGTGGAACAACAGAGAGCACAAAAGTAGGTCAACTGAGAGTGAGAAAGTGGAACTACTTAGAGCACAAAAGTAGGTCAACTGAGTGAGAAAGTGGAACTACTTAGAGCACAAAAGTAGGTCAACTGAGAGTGAGAAAGTGGAACAACAGAGAGCACAAAAGTAGGTCAACTGAGAGTGAGAAAGTGGAACAACAGAGAGCACAAAAGTAGGTCAACTGAGAGTGAGAAAGTGGAACAACCGAGAGCACAAAAGTAGGTCAACTGAGAGTGAGAAAGTGGAACAACAGAGAGCAAAAAAGTAGGTCAACTGAGAGTGAGAAAGTGGAACAACAGAGAGCACAAAAGTAGGTCAACTGAGAGTGAGAAAGTGGAACAACAGAGAGCACAAAAGTAGGTCAACTGAGAGTGAGAAAGTGGAACAACAGAGAGCACAAAAGTAGGTCAACTGAGAGTGAGAAAGTGGAACTACAGAGAGCACAAAAGTAGGTCAACTGAGAGTGAGAAAGTGGAACAACAGAGAGCACAAAAGTAGGTCAACTGAGAGTGAGAAAGTGGAACAACAGAGAGCACAAAAAGTAGGTCAACTGAGAGTGAGAAAGTGGAACAACAGAGAGCACAAAAAGTAGGTCAACTGAGAGTGAGAAAGTGGAACTACTTAGAGCACAAAAGTAGGTCAACTGAGTGAGAAAGTGGAACAACAGAGAGCACAAAAGTAGGTCAACTGAGAGTGAGAAAGTGGAACAACAGAGAGCACAAAAGTAGGTCAACTGAGAGTGAGAAAATGGAACTACTGAGAGCACAAAAGTAGGTCAACTGAGTGAGAAAGTGGAACAACAGAGAGCACAAAAGTAGGTCAACTGAGAGTGAGAAAGTGGAACAACAGAGAGCACAAAAGTAGGTCAACTGAGAGTGAGAAAGTGGAACTTCTTAGAGCACAAAAGTAGGTCAACTGAGTGAGAAAGTGGAACAACAGAGAACACAAAAGTAGGTCAACTGAGAGTGAGAGAGTGGAACTACTGAGAGCACAAAAGTAGGTCAACTGAGAGTGAGAGAATGAAACCAGCCAATGACCATGATACAATATGTCCACATTGTTAAAAACATCTTCTACGACACACGTTTCAACAATAAATAGTCCGAAGACTAAGCCTTGCGTTTCTGGGCCTTGCGTTTTTGGGCTGCCTCAAGTTCCTTTTCCCGCGTGAGGCATATTTCCACGCCCCGACGCATCTCCTCGACGGCGTGAAACTCCGTGAGACCGAGTCGACGTTTGTTGGAGAGGTCGTAGATGCCATCAACACCCTTGGTCCGCGTCCCGTGGAAACCTGGTGATTGTGAAAAATGAATGACTTCATTTCATACAAACAAGGATGATATGTCACCTACCGGTACTGATTTATTTCGGAGCAGTTGGGTAGCCTAATGGTTAAAGCGTCCGCCCGTCACACTGAAGACCCGGTTCGATTCACCACATGGGTACACAGAGGTAATTATGAATAGTGTTATTGTAAAAATATAGATTTGTTTGTTTTTCACCCCGCACTCAGCATGTGGCCACTTATATGATTTGTAAATAATCGAGTTCCGGTAAGGCAATCCAGCGATCAACATCATGAATATCGATCTACACAACAGGTGTACGATGGCATGCATCATCCAAGTCATCGAAACTGACAACGGGATCCCGTTAGTTGCCTCTTTCGACATAATTGTATCAGGGGTGGAAATAACTTTAAAATTGCTAGTGTACTCCGATACAGTGGCACATGTAAACTCACTTGCCCTGATATTTTTTCCACTATAAAGGCCGATTTTCTTCTTGATGTTTTAAATGAACAACATAATTAACATTGGAAAGTCAACTGGACACCGGTACAGCATGATATGCAAATTTGCTTGCCCGACAGAAAAAAATTTGGACTGGGACGTCGGGCAATGGGTTATTTCCACCCCTGTGTATTGGTTCTAAACAAATCGCAAACACTGGGACTTTCTTTTGTACGTGACCCGTGAAGATCCGGGTTAGAATTGATCTTCAGTAACCCATGCTTGTCGTAAGAGGCGACAAACGGGATCGGGTGGTCAGACTCATTGACTTGGTTGACACATGTCATTGTATCCCAATTGCGTAGATCGATGCTCATGCTGTTGATCACTGGAATGCCTGTTCTAGACACGATTATTTACAGACCATATAGCTGGAATACTGCTGAGTGCGGCGTAAAACTAAACTCACTTACTCACTCTGAAGCAAGACGTCTGAACGTGTTTTACGTATGCTTCAGTGACTATTATGGAGTTTTTGACACGTTATCCGGATGAAATGAAACAGTGTCACGTGTAGCTGAGCGATGTCATGCGTTATGTGCCATGCCTCCTGTCTTTAGACGAATCTATGGACAAGGATGTGTATGGGTAAAACGTAACCAATGCTCTCATGTACCTCGAATCTGTAGGTGGAGATTCTCGCAGAATTTCCCGAAGTCCGGTTGGGCAGAGAGGTGGGGGATCTTGATGAGGACTGAAGCACGGAGGGTTGTACCCAGGTTGGTCGGACAGAACGTCAGGTAGCCCAGACCTTTCCTCTTGGCGAACTGCACATCACTTCCCTCTATTGTCTTGATGGCCTGCACATGTAACAATGCAACGTTTAAAGCTGGTCTATACACTATAGTACCCTAAGCACCGTAAGCATTGCCTTCCTTCGTCACAGTGTGTCATGTGTTGGGTCATGTATCAAATATAGTGTGTCATGTGTCGGGTCACGTATCAAATATAGTGTGTCATGTGTCGGGTCATGTATCAAATATACTGTGTCATGTGTCGGGTCATGTATCAAATATAGTGTGTCATGTGTCGGGTCATGTATCAATTATAGTGTGTCATGTGTCGGGTCATGTATCAGATATAGTGTGTCATGTGTCGGGTCATGTATCAAATATAGTGTGCCATGTGTTGGGTCATGTATCAAATATAGTGTGTCATGTGTCGGGTCATGTATCAAATATAATATGTCATGTGTCGGGTCATGTATCAACTATAGTGTGTTATGTGTCGGGTCATGTATCAAATATAGTTTCTCCAGTAAGCCATGTGTAGTGTGTCCTCTGTGCAATATGTAGGGTCTCCTGTAAGCCATGTGGAGTGTGTCCTCTGTGCAATATGTAGTGGCTCCTGTAAGCGATGTGGGTGTGTTCTGTGTAATATGTAGTGTCTCCTGTAAGCCATGTGGAGTGTGTCCTCTGTGCAATATGTAGTGTCTCCTGTAAGCCATGTGTAGTGGTCCACTGTGCAATATGTAGTGTCTCCTGTAAGCCATGTGGAGTGTGTCCTCTGTGCAATATGTAGTGTCTCCTGTAAGCCATGTGGAGTGTGTCCTCTGTGCAATATGTAGTGTCTCCTGTAAGCCATGTGTAGTGTGTCCTCTGTGCAATATGTAGTGTGTTCCTGTAGAGCCATGTGGATGTGGAGTGTCTCTGTGCAATATGTAGTGTCTCCTGTAAGCCATGTGTAGTGTATGTGCAATATGTAGTGTCTCCTGTAAGCCATGTGTGAGTGTCTCCTCTGTGCAATGTGGAGTGTGTCCCCTGTAAGCCATGTGGAGTGTGTCCTCTGTGCAATATGTAGTGTCTCCTGTAAGTCATGTAGAGTGTCCTCTGTGCAATATGTAGTGTCTCCTGTAAGCCATGTGGTGTGTCCTCTGTGTGCAATATGTAGTGTCTCCTGTAAGCCATGTGGAGTGTGTCCTCTGTGCAATATGTAGTGTTCCCTGTAAGCCATGTGGAGTGTGTCCTCTGTGCAATATGTAGTGTCTCCTGTAAGCCATGTAGAGAGTCCTCTGTGCAATATGTAGTGTCTCCTGTAAGCCATGTGGAGTGTGTCCTCTGTGCAATATGTAGTGTCTCCTGTAAGCCATGTGGAGTGTGTCCTCTGTGCAATATGTAGTGTCTCCTGTAAGCCATGTGGAGTGTGTCCTCTGTGCAATATGTAGTGTCTCCTGTAAGCCATGTGTAGTGTGTCCTGTGCAATATGTAGCAGTGTGTCCCTGTGCAAGCCATGTGTGCAATATGTAGTGTCTCCTGTGGTGGTTCTCTCAGTAATATGTAGTGTTCCTGTGCCATGTGGAGGTGGTTCCCTCTGTGCAATATGTAGTGTCTCCTGTAAGCCATGTGGAGTGTGTCCTCTGTGCAATATGTAGTGTCTCCTGTAAGCCATGTGGAGGTGTCCTCTGTGCAATATGTAGTGTCTCCTGTAAGCCATGTGTATGTGTGTCCCTCTGTGCAATATGTAGTGTCTCCTGTGCCATGTGATAGTGTGTCCTCCCAGCAATATGTAGTGTCTCCTGTAAGCCATGTGGAGTGTGTCCTCTGTGCAATGTGTAGTGTCTCCTGTAAGCCATGTAGAGAGTCCTCTGTGCAATATGTAGTGTCTCCTGTAAGCCATGTGGAGTGTGTCCCTCTGTATGTGTCTCCTGTCATGTGGAGTGTGTCCTCTGTGCAATATGTAGTGTCTCCTGTAAGCCATGTGGAGTGTGTCTCTCTGTGCAATATGTAGTGTCTCCTGTAAGCCATGTGGGTGTGTCATGTAGTGTCTCCTGTAAGCCATGTGGGAGGTGTCCCTGTAGCAATATGTAGTGTCTCCTGTAAGCCATGTGGAGTGTGTCCTCTGTGCAATATGTAGTGTCCCTGTAAGCCATGTGGAGTGTGTCCTCTGTGCAATATGTAGTGTCTCCTGTAAGCCATGTGGAGGTGTCCTCTGTGCAATATGTAGTGTGTCTCCTGTGCCATATGTAGTGTCTCCCTCTGTGCTTCATAATATATGTGTGTCTCCCTCATGTGGAGTGTGTGTCCTCTGTGCAATATGTAGTGTCTCCTGTAAGCCATGTGGAGTGTGTCCCTCTGTGCAATATGTAGTGTCTCCTGTAAGCCATGTGGAGTGTGTCCTCTGTGCAATATGTAGTGTCTCCTGTAAGCCATGTGTTCTCTGTGCAATATGTAGTGTCTCCTGTAAGCCATGTGGAGAGTGTGTCCTCTGTGCAATATGTAGTGTCCTGTAAGCCATGTGGGTAGCAATATGTAGTGTCTCCTGTAAGCCATGTGGGAGTGTGTCCTCTGTGCAATATGTAGTGTCTCCTGTAAGCCATGTGGAGTGTGTCCTCTGTGCAAGGTAGTGTCTCCTGTAAGCCATGTGGAGTGTGTCCTCTGTGCAATATGTAGTGTCTCCTGTAAGCCATGTGGAGTGTGTCCTCTGTGCAATATGTAGTGTCTCCTGTAAGCCATGTGGAGTGTGTCCTCTGTGCAATATGTAGTGTCTCCTGTAAGCCATGTGAGTGTGTCCTCTGTGCAATATGTAGTGTCTCCTGTAAGCCATGTGGAGTGTGTCCTCTGTGCAATATGTAGTGTCTCCTGTAAGCCATGTGGAGTGTGTTCTCTGTGCAATATGTAGTGTCTCTGTGCAATATGTAAGCGTCTCCCTGTGGCCATGTGGAGTGTGTCCTCTGTGCAATATGTAGTGTCTCCTGTAAGCCATGTGGAGTGTGTCCTCTGTGCAATATGTAGTGTCTCCTGTAAGCCATGTGGAGTGTGTTCTCTGTGCAATATGTAGTGTCTCCTGTAAGCCATGTGGAGTGTGTCCTCTGTGCAATATGTAGTGTCTCCTGTAAGCCATGTGGAGTGTGTCCTCTGTGCAATATGTAGTGTCTCCTGTAAGCCATGTGGAGTGTGTCCTCTGTGCAATATGTAGTGTCTCCTCCCTGTGCAATGTGTAGTGTGTAAGCCATCTGGAGGTGCAATATGTAGTGTCTCCTGTAAGCCATGTGGAGTGTGTCCTCTGTGCAATATGTAGTGTCTCCTGTAAGCCATGTGGAGTGTGTCCTCTGTGCAATATGTAGTGTCTCCTGTAAGCCATGTGGAGTGTGTCCTCTGTGCAATATGTAGTGTCTCCTGTAAGCCATGTGGAGTGTGTCTCTGTGCAATATGTAGTGTCTCCTGTAAGCCATGTGGAGGTGTGTCTCTGTGTAATATGTAGTGTCTCCTGTAAGCCATGTGGAGTGTGTCCTCTGTGCAATATGTAGTGTTTCCTGTAAGCCATGTGGAGTGTGTGTCCTCTGCAATATGTAGTGTCTCCTGTATGTGTAGGTGTCTCCAATATGTAGTGTTCCTGTTAGTCATGTGGAGTGTGTCCTCTGTGCAATATGTAGTGTCTCCTGTAAGCCATGTGGAGTGTGTCCTCTGTGCAATATGTAGTGTCTCCCATTAATGTCTCCTGTAAGCCATGTGGAGTGTGGTCTCTGTGCAATATGTAGTGTCTCCTGTAAGCCATGTGGAGTGTGTCCCTCTGTGCAATATGTAGTGTCTTCCTGTAAGCCATGTGGAGCGTGTCCTCTGTGCAATATGTAGTGTCTCCTGTAAGCCATGTGGAGTGTGTCCCCCCAATATGTAGTGTCTCCTGGTCATGTGGAGTGTGTCCTCTGTGCAATATGTAGTGTCTCCTGTAAGCCATGTGGAGTGTGTCCTCTGTGCAATATGTAGTGTCTCCTGTAAGCCATGTGGGAGGTGTGTCCTCTGTGCAGCATGGTGGTCCTGTCATGTGGAGTGTGTAATATGTAGTGTCTCCTGTTAGGGTATGTGGAGGTAAGTTCTCCTGTAAGCCATGTGGAGTGTGTCCTCTGTGCAATATGTAGTGTCTCCCTGTAAGCCATGTGGAGTGTGTTCTCTGTGCAATATGTAGTGTCTCCTGTGTGTGTGGAGTGTGTCCCTTGTGCAATTATGTAGTGTCTCCCAGTGTCCCTGGAGGGGTAGGTCCCGTGGAGTCTCCTGTGTTTCTTCAGCAATATGTGGTCTCCCGTTAGTTATGTGGAGTGTGTCCTCGGTGCAATATAGTGTCCTGTGCCGAGTGTGTCCTCTGTGCAACATGTAGTGTCTCCCTGTAAGCCATGTGGAGTGTCCTCTGTGCAATAGCGTGAGCATGTTGTGCAATATGTAGTGTCCTCCTGTTTCTCCTTAAGGTATGTGGAGTGTGTTCTGTTCATGCAATGTTCCCTGGGGCACGGAGTGTGAGTCTGTATGTGTAGCAGTAGGTATGGAGGAGCAGCAATATGTAGTGTTCCTGTAAGCCACGTGGAGTGTGTTCTCTGTGCAACATGTAGTGTCTCCAAAGCCACGTGAGTGCTGTTCTCCAGTAATATGTAGTGGAGTGTGGAGTTCGTTCTCTGTGCAATATGTAGTGTCTCCTGTAAGCCATGTGGAGTGTGTCTCTGTGCAATATGTAGTGTCTCCTGTAAGCCACGTGGAGTGTTCTCCTGTCAGCAATACGTAATGTGTCCTGTAAGCCACGTGGAGTGTGTTCTCTGTGCAATATGTAGTGTCTCCTGTTAGGTATGTGGAGTGTGTCCTCTGTGCAATATGTAGTGTCTCCTGTTAGGTATGTGGAGTGTGTCCTCTGTGCAATATGTAGTGTCTGCTGTAAGCCATGTTGAGTGTGTCTGTGCAATATGTAGTGTCTCCTGTAAGCCATGTGGAGTGTGTCCTCTGTGCAATATGTAGTGTCTCCTGTAAGCCATGTGGAGTGGTATGTGTAGTTTCTCCTGTAAGCCATGTGGAGTGATATGTGTAGTTTCTCCTGTAAGCCATGTGGAGTGTTATGTGTAGTTTCTCCTGTAAGTCATGTGGAGTGTTATGTGTAGTTTCTCCTGTAAGCCATGTGGAGTGTTATGTGTAGTTTCTCCTGTAAGCCATGTGGAGTGTTATGTGTAGTTTCTCCTGTAAGCCATGTGGAGTGTTATGTGTAGTTTCTCCTGTAAGCCATGTGGAGTGTTATGTGTAGTTTTTCCTGTAAGCCATGTGGAGCGTTATGTGTAGTTTCTCCTGTAAGCCATGTGGAGTGTTACATGTAGTGTTTTATGTGTGCAATATGTAGTTTCTCTTATAAGCCATATGCAGTGAATTGAGGGTAGCATCCATGTCCAAGACCAGGATATTATGTCCTAATATGGACTCAGTGTTGATTTCTCTCCTGAGAATCTGTGATTCGATAAGAACATTACTGACATCGTCCTATACTAACGGTGCAGAGTCTCTTGTAGACGGCTCCCAAGTCGCCTCCCTTCTGCATGGAGATGAGACGGAGATGGTCCTCCTCGTTCACCCACACAAGGAAGGTCTTGTCGTTGTTGAAGAAAATGCCTCTGCCAGAAGGCCAGTCGTTAAAGATGCTGGCAGCTCCCAATAGGCTAACGCAATGATAAAGTAATATACAACATATGGAAACATTTGCCACATCAATCAGAGAAGTAGTACCATATAGTAGCAGTAACATCCAGTCTAAGTAAACTTTGGCTCAGTATTATTCGTTACACTGCCATACCGAGTCTAACATACCCTAGTAGAAGGTCGCGTCAGCTAATCTTTGAGCGACCTATGACCGTCCAATCAAACGAGAGACGGCCGAACTGATTTAGCCAATCAGACAACAGCTACTATTTATTCACTTCGAGTTTCTGAGTGAAGAGTTTTTGATTTACTCTTCCCCCGTCGCTGACACTGATCAATCAACAAACGGAAATCCGCACAAAAACACAGATATTTGACCTGCAGCATAAACGCTTAGGGGTTCCTGATGACATGGTTATTATTAGCGTATATTTCCGCAAGATGACATTCTCGAATATTGACAACGCTAATTTCATCGACAGCTTACTCACTGCTGTGAATAATGGCGTGCTCTTTGTGCATCACTCGGAAGCGATCGTGCGGAAAATAGCATTCGGAGTCATTCGAGTACAAACGTTTTCGAGGTAAAAGTTCAAACGGTACGTGCGAATGTTAACTTTTGCGATATATGTATATATATACACCTGGAACTTAATTAAGCACCCCCTGATATATTTCATGATGGTAGAGCAACTGTTAACCATCGTTAAACATGAATGATATCTCTGTATTACAACACATCTCTAGTAGTCTAAAAAGGTGTTTCAGTTCCTTTGCACTCGTCACAATGCATCCCTTGTGCACGTAAAGCATACAACCCACACTTTTCCCAAAATTCAGTTTCTCTGATATGCAATTTATGGGTATAAAAGCAGACAAATTTGTAACTGTCTCCATTAATGAATACTGAAATGGCGAGGAGATGACTTTCTGAAGCACTAAGGTGGCAATTGTAGGCATACATGCAACAGGCATGTCCTTCAAAGCTATTGGACGACAACTGGGCTACAGTCACTCGGTCATCAGCCGACTTGTCCGAAACATCAGATGACAGGAGATGTGAGAGATCGTTCAAGGCCTGGACAACCCAGGAAGACAACGGCCCGTGATGATCGCAGCCTGGAACGTCTGGTAAGGCGCGAGAGAACCCTTTGCCACAAGTTCGGGTTTGAAGCGCCTGTGGTTACCCTACAGACAATTATCCACCAGAACCGTCAGAAATCGCCTTAGGGCACTTGGTATGAGGTTCAGAAGAGTCATCAAACGTCCTGCTCTGTCTGATCTCCTTAAGAGACGACGTCTGGAGTGGTGTATGGCCCGTCGGCAGTGGAACCTGAGGACATGGAGGAGGGTCCACTGGTCAGATGAGAGGAGGTTCCTCCTCAACGTTACAGATGGTCGAATGAGAGTGTGGGGGCATAAAAACACTGCTTACGTGCCCAGGAATATCCACCCTACTGTTCCTTATGCTGGAGGATCGGTTATGATCTGGGTTTGTCTTTCACGAGACTGTAAACTGCAAATGGTGACTGTCCGAGGACATCTTAATGGTCAGCAGTACATCCAGGATATTCTCCATCCAGTTGTCGTGCCTCACTTTGACAACCATCCGTTGGCTACTCACCCGATATTCATGGACGACAACGCCAGGCCGCATCGTTCACGTGCTGTGACCGCACATATCCAGAATGAGGCTATCATGGCATTACCTTGGCCAGCAATGAGCCCCGATTTGAATCCTTTGGAGCACATCTGGGACTTTCTTGGACGCCGTGTGAGGTTGAGAGAACCCCCTCTCCAGAATCTTGCACAGCTGGAAGCTGCTTTGCATGAAGAATGGCGGCAATTGCCACTTGATCGTATCAGAAGGTTTACCAGTAGCATGAGGAGAAGGATTCAAGCTGTCATCAAAGCACGTGGGGGGATACACCCGATACTGATGCCAGACCCATCAGATGTTAGCATGTGACATTCCTTGTGCATCATTTATTGTAATAGTCAGCCATTGACAATGCTACGACCATACTTGTTCAGTGACTATTTTCATCAAAAATCAATAGTGACCAAATCACATTGGTTACGCTATTAAAACAACACGAATTGGAATCATTGTCTTGTTTTTCATTTGCCAATAGATCGTATGTTTCACAATAGCTAAGGTTCCACTATCTTTGGAATAGTGAGAAAGTTACAGCAAGTTTTGTTTCTCATCATCCAGAAAATAGGGGGGGTGCTTAATTAAGTTCCAGGTGTATATATATATATAAAACGACAGCAGAAACACCAATCATAGCAGTGGTAACTTGAATTTTCGCACAAGTGACATCAATTTACTTTTATCAGTAGTAACATCAATTTTATCAGTAGTAACACCATATTGAGCAGTGGCGAAGTAGTGGCACCCTTTTCAGCAGTAGGAATTACATCAATTATAGCAGGAATAACATCAAATTTAGTAGTTTTATCAATTTAAGCAGAATTAAAAACCACATAGTGACATGAATAAGCGGTATTTTCATCCCTGGACTGTCCAGTAAATATTCGACTACTTTCAGGTTGCCATCACCGAGCTGGAGTCTTGATGCTTTACACCAGAAACAAACAAATGCAATATAGTCAAATGTTTATTGATCTATATATCACAAAGTAGTACCTGTCCTCGACCCTGAACATGTAGTGGTTCTGTATCAGGTCTTGTTGTTCCTCCTGGCTCATGGTCTCCAGAGAGTGGTACGTTCCAGCAAGATCCCCGGTAAAGTTGAGGAGAACTTCCTTCGTGGTTGCCTCCATCGCCAGTCGTTGCTAAACAATGACACATGGACTCGTTATTATGTCACACGTCCTCGAGGCACATCAGATATATATGTTGATACAATCTTGGTACTACAGGACAACATATAAGTGTGAGTTGGGCATAGAGTGAGTGAGTATGGTATTACGCCGCTTTTAGCAATATTCCAGCAATATCACGACGGGGGGACACCAGAAATGGGCTTCACTCATTGTACCCATGTGGGGAATCGAACCCGGGTCTTCGGCGTGACAAGCGAACGCTTTAACCATTAGGCTACCCTACCGCCCCAGTTGGGCTTAGATGTGGATTGAACCGATTGAATAGAACCGATTTCAAAAGCCATGTAACATGGGTAATCTGCTGACAAAACAGATAATAATCTCAGAGAGGAGGCGCCTGTTAATTTCTGCACTTAAAAACATTGTAGGGCGGGGGGGAAGCCTAGTGGTAAAAGCATTAGCTCGGCACACTGAAGACCCGGGTTCGATTCCACACATGGGCACAATGCGTGGAGTCCATTTCTGATATTGCTAGAATATTGCTAAAATCAGCGTAAAACCATACTCACTCAAAATCATTGTATTTCTGAACATTTGTATGCCATGTAGATTCTGAACATTCAGAGATGACAGAGTTTGTCATATCGCTTCCAAATCAAAGGGGGCGGTGGAACCAAGACGCGTCCGCTCGTCACGCCGAAGATCTGGGTTTGATTCCCCACGTAAGTACAATGTGTGAAGCGCTTTTCTGGTGTCCCCCGCCATGATATTGCTGGAATATTGCTAACAGCGGCGTAAAACAAAACTCACTCACTCCAAATCAAGGGTATGTTGAAAATGGGTCTATGGCATTTTTTTCTAACTTTATAGAATTGTTAATGTACAGAATGGTATCTCACTACGCAATAAGCTAGCACTATACAACCAGCACATCCTACGACCTGCATCCTACGACCTGCATCCTACGACCTGCAAGCTGCCACACACGCACGCACAATGTAAGTGGGAAATTAGCACTTTCGTACCTCATAAACCGGATTAGAACCGGATTAGAAGATCCGGATTAGAACTGGTTTTCACCAACCCATGCTTAAGGTAAGAGAGGACTAACGGGATCAGGTGGTCAGACTCACTGACTTGGTTGACACATGTCATCGGTTCCCAATCGTGTAGATTAACGCTCATGCTGTTGATCATTGGATTGTCTGGTTCAGACTCGATTATTTACAGACCGTGGCCACATTGCTGGAATACTGCTGTACGGCGTTAAACGACAAACACACTCAAACACCTCATTACAGAATGGAAAGATTCTGCACTGGATCCTTGGGAATTCTCACGGTGAACTATGCTAAAACTTTCAGTGTGGCTATACAAGGTGCTTTTGCCACAACTGCCACGTACGTCTTTTGTTAAAATGGGTGGAAAGCCATAGTTGTCGTAGTTCCGTCCGACACGGATGCGGGTAGAGACGATGTATTTCCCGGAAGGGTCAAGGTTACCAAACGTAAGATTCTCCAAGTCACCTAGGTCAGGCTCTGGGTGATCTAACTTATCGACCTTGTGGTAGTCCTTGATGACGTCATCGATAACGTCGGCGAAGATGGTGTAGCCATGGGGATCACAGGTGAAGATGCCTACTTCGCAGTATAGATTCTTACATCCTACAAGAAAAAAGAGAGTAAAATATGTGTTGTTGATTTTTAAAATATTAATCAATATAATTGATGATAATCATACATTTTCATCGAATTATTCACAGATGCATCAATGGTATCAAACTCAACTAGGACTGTGCAGTATTACCGGTAAACCGGTATATACCGGTACAGTATCTCGCGATACGATTATCGCGATATGGTTCAGATTCTGCAATATATTGGGTCGTCCAGAATTAGCTCCCTTTGAATTATCTGCCCTTGTCAGGCTCGCTGACTCGGCTGACACATGTCACCGTATCCCAATGCTGTTGATCACTGGATTGTCTGGTCCAGACTTGATTATTTACAGACCGCCACCATGCAGTCTAAGTAAACTTAGGCTCAGTATTATTCGTTACACTGCTATACTGAGTCTAACAAACCCCAGTAGAAGGTCGCGTCAGTTAACCTTTTCAATTGACCAATCAGAACACAGCTTACCAAGTCGCGAAAGTTGACATTCGCACATACCTATGAACCTTTACCTCGAAAATGTTTTGTACCCGAACGATTCCGAATGCTATTTTCCGTACGATCGCTTCCGAGTGATGCACATAGAGCACGCCACAACAGTGAGTAAACACTCGCGTTTTGTCAGTATTCAAGGATGTCAGCTTGCGGAAATGTTAGCTAATGATAACCAAGTCAACAGAAACCCAAAAGCGTTTATTCTGCACGTCTTATATCAGTGTTTTATGCGGGTTTTCATTTGTTGTGAGATCAGTGTTGGCGACGGGGGAAGAGAAAATCCATTTTGTAAGTACTGCCGAACCCTAAATAGTAGCCGTTGTCTGATTGGTTAAATCCGTTCCGCCGTCTCGCGTTTGATTGGACGGTCATAGACTCGCCGCCATGTTGCTGGAATATTGCTGAGTGCGGCGTTAAACAACAAACAAACCAAACCGCCTATTGTAACCACAGGGTTTTCATTGGTCGTTTATGATTATCATAGGGTATACAGTGTCTGGATGCGATTCAACAGTAGTGGAGTTATATGCTGTTTTATGCCGTTTGGGGCAAATAATGCATTTCTGCAATTTTCAATCCCATATGGCCGCCAAACGATGAAACTTTTGATATGCATGTAAGAACACGAAATGTTAAGCATCTCATGTTGATGCATAGTGCCAAGTGTCAGCTACGCTGTGTTTAAAGTAGTGTCATCAGAATCTGTTGAAATCCAATATGGCCGCCACACAAATACACAAAGCCGTCATTCAGCAGCTTACGACTACATCAAATAACTGACCAATCACCTGACCGAATGCAGTCAGCTAGCGTTCCGCCATATTTGGTCTCTCGCTCTTTTAGCTTTTCAAACCGTTCTGGGGTCAGGTGCTTCTTCAAAAGCGACTTGCATTCCTCCGAGGAGGGGTTCACCAGACACTCCCAAAGGTCCATGAGGTCTCCATTGCCAGAGGCAATATTTCCAGAACTTCCAATACACCCATTATCCATTATGAAACCTAGAAATGAAAAAGTGGTGCTTTCATTCATGATGGCTTGAAGCAAAAGCTATAGGATTGATGAATCGATTTTGTTACGTAGAGCGTGTACGATCGTTATCCCGTGACGTCATTAGTTTAATTTCATGAGATGAGGAAACTGAACCGTAGGATTTAGTCTGTTACCTATTATTATTTATTTATTATAGGATATTTATATAGCGCACATATCCAGGCAACTAGTACATGCTCAAGGCGCTGGTAATTTTCCCCTCGATCTTTGGATGTCAATCTCAACGGCACATCGTATTATCAATCTCAACTCCCCGGGGAGGATACAACTCTTGCAGCCACTAGGCGCACCGAGTTATTGTGGCTTTTTCATCCTTACGATGTACCCATTCACAGCTGGGTGGACTGGGACATATAGTTACAGTACTTTGTCCAAGTTTTCTGCACGCTGCTGTACCCGCAACTAGGTGTTTGCACGTATATATGTGGCCACCAACTGGTCATTTACCAACGGACTCGTGGGTTCTTTTAAGTGCACAGGGTTGTGTACTGTACACTAGGGGCTGTGACAACACTGAAAGAGTCTGCACACAAAGTTGACTCCAAGGTTTTTGCATCCGGTACCAGGTTGGCTCGATCCCGACACCTCAAGCCAGCTCGACCACCGTGCCCCCTACCTACGCCTATCGTATTGCATGGAATCGCAGTAGCAGAACTTAGATCTTTAGTTTAAGAAGAACTGATTTTGATGTATAGGTATTTATCATATACTATATTAGTAAGCAAAATGTATGTACGAGTCACGACGCGCGAAACGCGCTTTGTAATTTAGAAGGCACGTGAACTAGTGAACCTATTATTCAATCCCGTTCCATTATTGATTCCTCGCAATGCTGAATGAGGTGACTTTCAGATAGGGACGGGGGTCTGAATGTAACCATGGAATGAAACAACTGTACACGGTAACGTCTACTTGTGAGTGAGTGAGTGAGTTTAGTTTTACGCCGCACTCAGCAATATTCCAGCTATATGGCGGCGGTCTGTAAATAATCGAGTCTGGACCAGACAATCCAGTGATCAACAACATGAACATCGATCTGCGCAATTGGGAACCGATGACATGTGTCAACCAAGTCAGCGAGCCTGACCACCCCGATCTATCTATCTACTGTAAATCGACAACGTTAGTGTAAACATATTTTATTCAAAATAAATTGAACTAGGATTGATAAACAAGCCGTAATGGCTTATTTGAATACCTCTCCATTTCATTGATACATGAATAAAACAAATATTAAATAATATGCAGCATGATAGGAAAGCAAGCAACCTGCGTATTAAACATTATTAATCATTTATCAAATCTATGCAATTTTATTATAAAAGTATGGACAGATTGTAGTATACAAGAATTTATAAAAAAGTAATGTAAAGTATCCTCATAGGGGTGACCACAGGAACAGAATGGATCAACTGAAATGTGCCGTTCAAACATGTGCGCTTTCAAACTACTGCATCCAAGTCTGAGGCGTGAGTGGATAATTTGGCAGAAACGTGTACCAAAGTTTTTATCAAATATATTAAAATTGGGTGGTTTTGATGATTGGAATGCATTTTTGAATTGGCCTATGGTTTCAATATCGTACATATTCTCAGGCAAATCATTCCATTGTCGTATTGTATCTGGTAAAAACGAGTTGCTTTACAAATCACTACGACATCTTATAGTTTGAATGTTATTACTGTTTCTTAATCTATGGTCACTTAACTGTGGTACTTTTTCGGGCAGTAGATCAGTTAAATAAACTGGTGTCATATGATGAACCATTTTGTAAAATAATGATAACTTGCTAATTTGTCTACGGTCTACAAAGTTTTGCGGGCAGGAAAGTTTTGCTAGTATTGCGAATGATCTCCAGGCACAAAACTTTCCAGGCGTAATGACATTTTGTTAAGCAATTATTCCCGGTCCATGTAAATTACGTGATCAGACAATGTCAAGAAGTCCAGATGTTCGCCTACCGGTAATTCCTCAACACAATGTACTTACTTCAAAGCAATCACTAACGTATTGCGTCTACTCACGTCTCGAAATGAAGTGTAGTTGACAGTAAATGGCTACGTATACATATTTTGTTTCGCCAAAAGTCATAATTAGTGTAGCTGGACGATGACCTGTTAACAAACAGCTTTCGCAGTGGAAATAGCGAGATCGCGCGAAACCTCATCGGTGACAGGTTAAATTGTTCCATGCATAAAAACTATCCGGCAATACACCAAAAAGCTGTCGCATAACCTTTGTTATGATTATAAATATTTTACATTTATAGAGCACAGCCTGCAATGAAAATTACACAATACTAGAATATATTTCAACAAGCCAGAATGCAAGCCTCAGAAGCCGAAAATGATCGACGTGGACTTGAGTGATTTCGCCGATTGCGAAGTCTTCAGCATGGCACGAGACGTACGTTATACATGTACTAGTATGTTGTTACTTGCATATATTTTAATATTTATATATATATATTTGTCTTCACTAAATGATTACGCAAGATTATGCACACACACAAATTTGATCTTCGTATAATTTCACCAAAACGTAAAGCATCATGTCAGTTGAACATTAGAAATTCGTTGACCACACTGACAAAATAGTATTTGGATTATCTTTTTTGTTTTTCTATAAAATATAGTTTCTGAATATTTGTTTTACAAAAGATTCCTTGCAACGGTTGATTGCTACAGTATTACACTTGCGGACAATCTCAGCAGATTCTCAGCACGGTTTATGTAAATATAGTTTCTTATGGAAGCATGTTATTATTTTATCTTTCTCACAAATGTTAATATGATTTCAGGACATGGATGGTGACATTGATCACACCCCTCTTCTGCCAAAACCCAACCAAAAGAGGAAGAGGAAGGCTACAGCTGATGCTCGGGTGCGCAGAAGGCTCCAGGTTGACCAAGTTCAAGTGCAGGTAATGTGTTTGAAATGAATGTTCATTCTCATTTCATCTAATTAGTAATATTTAAGTACATTTTATTATTAGCTTTTATCTCAACAACAAAAAATTGAACAGTGGTGAAGTAGCGCCCCATTGTGTTGCGCGTATCAGGATAAGCTAAGAAATTCTAATTCTCACATGTTCACAGAATGACAGCACAGATAAGGAGCTGGGATCTGCACCAACAAGACTTACAACATGCTGTCCAAGTTCACCCAAAGGCCCATCAACACACCATATCAGGCAGTCAAGGTATGTTATTTTTAGCATTGACTTGCATATGAAGTATTGTTTGTCTAAAAGATGTGTTAAAATGGATTCTGGAACTCTTGTTTGTTTGTTTTTGCTTGACTATAATTCCATATCTCTATGTTCAGGAATTTGCTGCTTCATTAGATGTCATTTGAATACTATCGTCTGGGATACAGGCCATGTGACGATCCCCCAAGGCAGCCACAGCCTGACGACCTACCAAGATTGTGCAGGTGTGGCAACTGTAGGCCCATGCCATCAGCGCAAGAGGACAAGTGCTGCTGGCAGACTGGCTCGTCCCATTGTGTAGTGGATGGGCCAAACTTTTACACTGCTATACGTAGGAGATTCAAGAGATATCTACACAGGCTACAAAGCAATGTAAATAAATCATTTTGTACATTTTTTATGTTTTGTATGTATATATTGTATGTTTTGTATATATTTTGTATGTATATATTGTATGTTTTGTATATATTTTGTATGTATACATTGTATGTTTTGTATATATTTTCTGTGTATATATTTTGTATGTATATATTGTATGTTTTGTATATATTTTGTATGTATATATTGTATGCTTTGTATATATATTTATTGTCGTGTGTTTATGAATTGAATCTTAATGAAATATTAATATTATGAAAGTTGTTGATTTATTTCTTAATCCTTGATTGAAGTGAAACCAATTGTTGTAACCAGCTCGCGATATGTAACCAGACCATACACACACAAAGTGGAGCTGTTATCTGACAAATAACAGAATGTGACACAGCTGTGTGTATTCATTCTAAAGGTCATAAATCTACATACCTCAAAAGCAATTACTAACAAAGGTAATAAATCTAGGCGCACCTATGTGTAATTCATTAGGTATGTTACATGTACTGTCACAACATGTATGTGAGGATAATAAATACACAAGAATACACAGTTATACCGGTAATGATATATATATATGTTTAGAGTGTACATTCCACAATATGACTCAACACATAGGAAATAACAAATGATTGCTGGGATTTAGAGCCAATATGGACAATCGTCATCATAATTACAAAATGTAAGGTAGATGGTCCCAAGACAATAGTTTAAATATCTATCTGGGCGTGGAACTGAATGCAGTCTAAACTCTTTCACTTCTTGAATCGCGTCAGACACTGATTTACAAGTTCTGCCATTGGGGGACAGGGTCTCCTTGCAATTGTTGACGAAATACGCCTGGGATCGTCATCGGCCATTGGTGTTTTCCTTTTCAGGCCTCCAGTCTGCTCATTTTGTCTTTGCTGGAAGGCCAGCATCTGTAGGTCCCATCTGTATGAGTAGTTCTTCTCGACTTTGGCAGTCCTTGGTCTCCAGCGCTGGGTTCTTTTACTGTACACACCTGAGTATCTACAATGTAATAATAATAAAAGTAAGGTAATATGTTAGCAACATTGGTCAATGTCTAATACATTTCATGGCAAAAACCTGGTACCCTGTATTTCTGTAACAGGGAGAACAGAAATTCCCCTGCCATATATGAATATATAAGTAAGTTTGTCTGATAAGTAGTCTCTCTTAGTAGCAGGCTTACATTGTTTCACCGTCACTGGTTCTCTGGTCTGGTCGACGGAGACCAGTTGCAACGATTATATTTCAAAACAAACAGCCACATTATCCCTTTTACCTGATAACGAGGAAGCTTGGAGACGTATAAAAACAGTCGCACTTATATATAA